TTCAAGAGTCTGTCAACAAAAACTGGAAATGTTATTCATTTCAGAGTAAGGTTGAATCTAAAATTCTCTGATAAAAGAAAACAAAGAAGAAAAAAACATGCTCATGGTTACCAGTGACAATAATTTGCGACACAAAAAAAGTCCCGTACAAACGCGAAGTGTTTATGTTTTAGAGTTTCATCATTTACTACCTTTTTAACCTGGACGTATTCGTGTTAAAAGCAACATGAGACGGGTGAAAAGAATGAGTGTGCTCGTTAATTGGACGTATTTCTATCAAACGGAACTATGTGCATAAAGACATGAGCCCTGAGACTCATTAGAATATGTGCATAACAGGGCTCACGTCATAATGCACATAGTTCCGTTTGATAGAAATACGTCCAATTGAGGGTCGCAAGAATGAATGGGAGGGAAAAGGCACCAAAGACGCCAGCGAAGACGACGATCCGCGGATCTTAGTACTCATGAGCCTTGTCCACAACGCTCTTGTCACATATCCATGGCTCATGAGTTAGCATAGTTTGGCGCTTAGTTCCTTTTAATATGATGCGGAGTACATTTTGCAAAAAGGAACCAGGAGCATTGCGATGTTGCTGAGATTGTGCAACTTCTTTTGTCTCAGAAGAGAAACCTGATCATCAATCGACAGTTTTTATTTGACGAGCTAAAAACTGTGAATTTAAGGCAAAAATCACCATGTAAATTTTATATTTTTTCACGATAGCAGTAATTTTATCGCAAAAGATGAGGTTGCACAATCTTAGCATCATTGCAATGCTTCCGGTTCCTCTTTGCAAAATGCAATCCATGTAAAATCCATTTCCCCAAAAGGAACCACGCCCACTTTTACATTGTTTATTATGCAGATCGCACGAGCACACCCCATATTTCCCACACGATTCTAGTTTTCTTTAGCATGAATACGTCCACCTGTCCTTTTGTGCTAGTCAGCAGAATGCCACGAGAAAAAACATATTTCAAGGTAAGATTTCATCGCGAGATTTTACCATGAGTTATTTGAATCGGTTTGAAGTACTAGTACGAATATAGAAGGAAAATAATAAAACTTTTCCACTTGGAACATGTCACTGCCTCAATAAAAAGGAAATGGAAAGGTTTACAAATCTTGTTGTCCTGTTTCCTCTTCAGCTAGTCTGGCGGTTGTCATGTTGATAGCAACGGCGTCTTGATGCAACTAATGCTGCGCTGCGGATATCTGAGTTGCGTGCGTAGAAATTGAAGGCGTTTCGATTTTCCTTGTGCTCTCAGAGTTTGAGCGTGACAGCGCCAGCCAATGCAGTCTTTCCGTTTTAAGTATATAATATCAATACGTATTGGTATATTATTATGTAAGTAAATTAAACAAAGAAAATTGTTCCAACGGTAGAGCTTTCTGTTCTCATCGTACTTTGCTTTCACTTGTACTCCCTCGCTTAGTAGATCAGTGACCAAATCAGTACTTAAATCTTTAGCAACTTCAAACTATTGATCACTAATTTCTAAAGTGTTAGTGACCGATGTTTTGTTAATGTGCCTAATAAATGTACTAACCAACCAACCATTGATCTATTTGTAAACATTAATTACGATAAACGCCGTAGATATGCCCATTTTGGAGATTAAGTTAGTGACACCTAGAAAATGTTTTAATACAAAAGCCATAAGACAACAAGTTTTGAGACAACTCTTAGGATTTTCTTTATTAAGAATTATAGCACTAGAAATTCAAGGGGACACGGAGCAGCCGTTCTTACGGGAAGGGAAGAAAAATCATCAATATTTTGAAACGCATCGAACACCTTTAATCATTTTCTTTGGATATCTTGCATTATTCACCTCATAATGCCAATATAATAAATCTTCATTTCTTGGGTCAAACGAGGGTATATAGCTGTTGATAGAGAAGTTTCTGCGGAAAAAAAGCCTTAAAATCTTTTATTCCTCTCCTTCTTCTTCTTCTTCTTCTTCTTCTTCTTCAGAGGATTTAATAGCTTTTATTCCAAATGAGGGAACTTTAGGTAACTATAGACTGAAGTCTCTGATGAGGTTTAGGACTTATGAAAACCTTTCCTGACCTATCCTGGAGAGAAAACTTTTATCAAAATCACTGAAAAAAAGGAAAAAATACCTATCTTTCCCCATTTCCTCCTTCCCCTCTTTTTATCTCTTCGAAACTTCTCTCTCGCCTTCACAGTGCGCCGATGGGATACTACAAAAAAGATTAATTTATCGCCAAAGATGAAAACATTAATTACAATTTATACTTGAAAATTAATCTTATTCTTTCTCTTCTTCTTCTTCAGAGGATTTAATAGCTTTTATTCCGACTGAGGAAACTTTAGGTAAATATAGACTGAAGTCTCTGATAGGAGGTTTAGACTTATGAAAACCTATCCTGACCTATCCTGGAGAGAAAACTTTTATCAAAATCACCCATAAAAAGGGGAAAAATACCTATCCTTCCCCTCTTTTTCTCTCTCCGAAACTTCTCTCTCGCCTTCACAGTGCGCCGTCAGGATACTGCAAAAAGTAATGCATATATTGCCAAATATGAAAAGATGAATTACAACGTATACTTGAAAATTAATATTTATTCCAAGAACAAATGAACAGTGAAAAAATAATTATAAACATTTACTTTTTTTATTTCTGCTGAGAAAGATCAAAATGGAAAATGTCTGAAAATTAGATTAGATTTGTTTAAAATTTAAAAATCAAAGGCCATTGCCTCTTTTCAGTGGCAAATTCATACCGCAAATTAATTTCTCCTCATATTATTCAAATAATCAAGGCGTCAAATAAGTTGCGGACAAAATTTGAGAGGTAGGTAATCTTTCGGCAACCTCACTTTGTTGAGATGTGGAGCAAGCAAAATCTTTCTTTTCCATAGAGATGTAGATATATTCGTGTAGTTTCATCTTTTCTTTAAAATTGATGAGTTTTCAAGTTTTTCCTCCCAAGTTTAGCCTATTATGACTGACTTAATTTGTAATGAATTTTGTTGGGAATTGAAAAATCATAGTTACAAATGTTCGGGTACCAATTTTTGGGGAGGCATGCTGAAGATGTTCTCAAAAACAAGTATTGAAAAAAACTCAGTGAACTTAGAATCGGTCACTCATTCGTGATATGATTTAAATTATTGTGTAATCGAAGTAAGACCGATTGCAATACCGTAAAATTTTCAGACAGATTTATTTCGATAGCAATACCTAAGGGCTATACAAATTACAAAGTCTTAAAATAAGAAACAAATTAAAAAGGATATTTAACAACAATATTAACCATTAAATGGACGATACATCCGTACAAATAAAATTATACAGAATTACATGCTTCTCTGTGTTCACAAAAATCTTAAACTTACAGGGATGCGATCAAATGTGATTGACCTGCGTCAAAAGATCGACGTAAAATTTGACTAGAGTGAACACGGAATGAGTATTTTCAAACGGTTGAACATGCCAGTTGGACAGAATTTTATAGAGTATAAAACGCGACTTAATTGGTGTAAAACCGTCGTGGTGCGTTTAATTATGTTCCAGTTATTTCTAAAATAGCACTTTCTTTTGATGTTTAATTTTTTTTCTGCATACTGAGAGGAGGATATTTTGAGGGGTGTGAGGTCTTTCAGAGAGAATCGTAGGTATCCGCCAAGTGTAAAATTGAGCACAAAAGTGCGCGCAATTCAGGAGAAACATGTTCATTTGTTGCACGAGAATTCTCCTTCTTCTACTCCAAGACTGTTAAACTCACTGGTAAAGAAAAACCTCTTGGACCAATGCCGCGGTGCATTGACTTAAGAGTGCAGTTTCTTGTCACCGGATTTAAGAGTCTTGAACTCTTGTTTCAAGCGGATTTTGCATTGATTCAATTCAAAATCCGCTTGAAACAAGAGTCCAGACTCTTAAATCCGGCGACAAGAAACTGCAGGTTTTTTTTTACCAGTGTACATTTGGTATTCGATGATTGACGGGAACAAAACGCATCGTTAGATACCATGAAAATAACACAGCTAATTTTAAAATCAAATTACAGATTGTGCAACAGACGTGACGACGGTGAAACTATCAAAGGACGTATCTCGTTTGCGGTGTTCAAAAATTTCCGCTCTTATTTTATTTTTCTGAAGGAGAACAAACCAATATCATTCCTCAAAAGTTTCACAATTTTCAAGAATTGATGTTGTGAAGCTTTCCATCTAAAAAATAAGGTAAGACAGGAAGTCTGCGACGTCTCAAACCGATATACGTGGTCTGGTATTTTAACCGTCGATATTAGATTAAGGGAAGAATAATAGTGTATCATCGAAAAATTTAGTACCGTTTCCGCAGAAAGTATTTAAAAGATGATGTCGAAACTACGCAATAAGACATGACTTTTGCCCTCCATGAAGGGAAAAGTAAATTATTTTTCTTCCACCCGAACGACGAAAGCATCTCTTTCCTGAGAGCATCTTTCGCACCTCCTTCCCATCTGGCTACCATTCAACCGTTTGTTGAAACGTTAATTTACAACAGTTTTATCTAAATAAGTTTTTTCTCTACATTCTCATAAAATAAATCTACGAAGAATTTACACTAGACACATTTCCTAATCGTAGGTCATATATTTTTTACACAAGCGCTCTCTAAACAAATTCTGAAAAGATAAAAAGTAAAAAATAAAATTACAAACACTTACAGCAAGTTACTGTACAATTGAGCAGACAAAGAATACGATATTACTGTACAAATGTTTATCAAACATTATTTTTTCTTACACATTTTTAGGCACTATATCCTGGGACAAGTCTGTGCCGAAAACGTTATTAATGGCGCATCTAGAGCTCTGCTCATCTCAACTGCAAACAATATAAGTTTTCGTTAGATCTCATTATATTCTCTAAATAAACAACTGGTATATTTTCTTTCAATTTTCCGCAAAAATGTTGAAATCTCATTGAAAGAAAAAAATGACTTGGATATGTACAAAGATGTGAACTCAGATAAGCTATTAACAATTTGCTGTATATTATCCTGAAAGAATTTTGCTGAAATGAACATTTTAAAAATGGGGCGAATACTGTGACGAAGAGTAAACAGTGTATGGAAATAAATAAGCTTTTTTACTTTATTTAATCGATTAGTGATTTTGGGCCCTTAAATTTGGCGGATTTTAAGTTTGTATAGTTCACCATGGACTCCTCGACGGAATTTTACTTTTATATGCAAAAAAGTTGCCTTTTGAGCAAAATCTTTGAATTTTTTCTCTCAGTCTTTAAAAGATAGTTCCAAGAGAGATTCAGTTTGACAGAAATTCGCCGTCAATGATGCCATTATGTCATTGTCATTACACAATTTTAAAACTATAATGGCAGTATTAACAGTACTGTAACACCTTCTTCATTCATTAATTATTGAAGTACTGCTTTTTCAAGTATTATCCAGGATATCGATGATTTTTATTTGCAGCAGTCGATAAATTCGATTCACACAGCTTAAGTTATCTTTACGCAAGCAAAAAATGCTATCCTTAGCAAACTGCAAGCAGATATCATCAAGCTTGGTCGTTACCAGATATCTATCTCAATTTACTCGGATTGGAGCAATTAAAAAATAAAACTAACCCTACATTGTTTAATAAGTCACATTCTTCGATTGTAAAAGTGTCCATTTACATTAAATCAACATTAACAAATATGACAGACTACTATATGGCGTCATGATGAATAAACGTCATCATTCACGAAACACGTCGTCCGTAGCCTGAAAGATATTGGTGTCATTATAATATTGTGAAATGTTATTATAGTATTATGAAAAGTGGGGTATTCCTCCACAGTGAGATCCAGGAGGATAGGAGGAATTCCAGTTAACAACCTACGCTCGTCACGTAATAATAAATACAGCGGTACTCCTGAATGAAACCTTTTATTGCGGGTTCCAAGCCTCCTTGTGGAGAGTCTCGAATTTATTTCACATGAACTTATTTTTTAAAAACGCTATTTTAGCATTTCTTTCATAACAGTCTGTGACATATTCTAATCTTGTAATTTTTTTGTCTTTGAGCTTCAAAAAAATCAAAGAAAATATAACAGGCAATACGTAATAAATATCACAGCTTCATATACACTTTAAAAGCATATTGAAGTAGACGTATAGAACAACTACATTCAAATACTCATTACCAATAAAGGGCACAAAACATTATTTACATATTATGACAACCTTAGAAGCTTTCGCATATCAATAAAAAAGAACAGAAATTAAAGAGGTTTGAGAGCGTAGATGCTCACAATGCGGTAATTGATGCTCACTTCGTCTCCGAAAGCACTGACCCATATTGCGTGAGAAAGAAATTTAATAAAAAGGAGCTAGGCACTTGCAGGTTTAAAGTGTATCACCAATATAGTAAGAAACAATTACACTTATATTAAATTTTCTTGCGTTTTTACGAGTTCCTTTTTTTTGAACCCCAATAAATTATTGCAAAAAAAATCAACTTATTAATTTTTGAGAACTGGGGTGTGGCCGTGCGTGACGAGTCGAATGTGAACATCATTAGGAAATAATATATTTTAGAGGGAAATAAGTTAAAATTTGAAAAATCTACAGAATTTTTTTCAGAGCAAATTTTGGGACCCAATAACTGAAGGACGGATGGTTTTTTACTCAAAAAAGAAAGGACCGATAGCTAAATAAAAATAAATAAGTAAAAAACAAAAATAAATGAATGAGTCCCTCCTAACATAACAAATCGACGGTAATAGAACCTACCAGACCTTGTAGCCCAACGCGAAGTTTTAAAACATCTGCTCTCTATTTACTTGTACGAAAATTGACCCATTTTTTGCAAAATAATTTTTTTTAGAAAGCAACCTCAAGTAAGAATTGCGCAAATTCTCGAGAATGAGAAAATATCTGGTCTTCTTCACTGAGAAAAGAAAACAAAGAGAATATGACTGGACATTTTTGACGAAGCGGCAAAACTGAGAGCAGAGTTTAATTCTCAACATTGAGAAACAATGAAGGTGTTGCTCGCACACTTTATTTTCATACTAATGTTTTCAAATTTATTTATCCGAGGGGGGGGGGGATTCGCAGGTGGCTCAGCCTTGTTACGTAGAGACTGAAACGAGCGTTTAGGTATGAATATTTAGCTTTAAGTCGAGAAGAAAATAATGGCAATGCAGAACAGTCTTAAAGAGACGACTCGAAAGGGTGAAATCAAAAGTCGTTGTCGTAGTCCGGGTGCCTGGAAAGGTAGTCGGCCCGCGGAGGTCGGTGCGTGTAACCGCTGTGACTGCTGCCGTCGTAATAGTGACTATAGCCATGCCAATCAGATCGCCAGCTGTCGTAGAGGTTCGACATGCTCGTCTCGTACGAGGAACGCTGCAACAGGAAACAATTCACCAATTGTAACAGTTACCCCTTCATCGAGTTTAATCGAATTAACTTAACTTGGAAATATCGCAAGAAAAAAACAAATAGGGAATTAAATAAATTCAGAACATTGAGAATGCGACAATCATTTAGATTGCATTTTGCAAAATGGAGCCGAAAGCACTCCAGTGGCACTCAGATTGTGCAACTTTTTTACCTTGCAATTGTAAACTTATCATCAAAACAAGTTTAATCTTTAATCCCAATAAACTGTAAATTCAAAAAGAAAATTACTTTCGTAAATTAATTTTTAGCGTGATTTTAGTAATATCATTGCGAAGAATATAAGTTGCAAAGTACTATAGCAACTTTGGAATGTTTTTGTTTCCTTTATGTAAAATGTGATCCATTTGATCAAACGCAGCTTTCCCTCCTTTTCTCTAGGAGAAATTGGGTTTGTTGTAGGTATGTAGGTACAATTTTGAAACATTTTTTGAAAAATTTCAGGGCGTCAGTTCAATAGAATTAAACTTTTCAATTAGGTATTATTTTTGCAGGAGAATACCAGCTAAGATGACGTCTCTTTGAAATTTTCTGTTAATATTTTTGAAAAAAATCTCCTACGATTTTGAGAAAAACAGTTGGCAATTTTTTTTAAGTAATAGAAAATACCTATACGAGAATGGTGCAATATCGCGATCAGAAATATAATGCATAAAATATATACGTCGTTTTTCAACGTCTTCGATGAATGCGTTCCCATCAGCATACTTTGATTTCCGTTATATCTCGCCACGAAGAGTCAAGAGAATACCACAAGCCCTTGCTATGATTAGATTTGACTGAGGTAAAGGGTAAAATAAAGAAGAAAATAAGTAAAATAACAAATCCTCATTTGATGACGCACACTTTAATAATACTTTAACGACTTTCATGACCACAGAATTTTGTGGACGACCTTTCGGTATAGCGCGGAAATTTGGTTTTTGAACTACCGTTTTGCCTACAGTCTCAATTGCACCGTCAAGGCCAGTTTCTATTCGGCGTCAGTGCCGTAGCTGGAAAGGTGTTTGACTCTCATTTTAGAATAAAGTACAGATGATACAGATTCACAGAAAAGCAGGGCGTCACTGAATTTTCAGAGAAACCACAAAATATCAAGGTCTTAGGGTTGATCTGCATAGACGAAATTACCTTTTTAATGCTCGTATCATTCCAGACGTCCTCCATGTTATAGATGTCCTCCGAAGCACCATAATTGTCAACGCCGTTCATGTGGTTTTTGTTAAGCTCGTGGAGCATGTCCTCCGTCATTGGTGTTGGCTGTTTTTTGGTGTTCTTGCTCCTACTTATCAGCTGGAGGGAGGAGAATACAAAGCGTATGTGTGAAAATCATTTAGTTTAAAAATTAAAGTCCAACACATTATAAAATATATTATGGAAATGTATTCATTCTCTCCTCTGATCCCTCTTGATTTGCCAGTGTAATGGGCTGATTATCGAAATCAGTTGACAAAGCTATAGACAAAGAATACAAAAGGCAAACGTAGCAATCTACATCTACAAGAGACCCTATGGTTAGTCCATCATTTCCCTTTGAGTCTATTTCAACCGACGGGATCGTTATATTTTCCCTTAGTCTTCTTTATCGATTGCTTTGTCTATCAATTACAATCATCTCCCCGCTGTTGCACTCACGAGAAAGAGATAAATGAATAGACTTCTCAAGAGTAAAATCGCACAAATACTTTGATGAGCATACAAAAAGGTCTTAAATTCAACCTCAATCTGCCGATCTCCGTGATATGAAGTATGTACTTGTTTGTGAATAAGTACAAAACTTATCCGGTGAAAATTCGCAAAGTTGCGATTAAATTAACATTTCGGTTTAGGACATTTCGTCAACGATTTTTTGTCCGAGCACCTGTTTTTTCCAGTAATTTACGTCCACGCGTTTTTTCGGCACGGGAGTTTTGGTCCACGTGCAAGTTGAGACCCAAAGTTAATTGGCCCACACGTAAATACAAACGACAATTGCTCACGACGTTTTTGGATGAAAATGTATAGTGTCTTGGAAGAATGAGGGTTTGCTTGTTTTTTTGTTTTGTCTGTTTGGTCCAACGGAAAATAATATATAGTTAAGAGTTTTGGTAAAAATGGGGGAGCGTCAATTCCATGAGACAAAATTCACTAAAACTCTCTACACCTCATTGGTGTAACAGGACTCAATTATCTTTCAAGAAATTTCCACTTTGTTATACCTGAACCGGATAAACCTCTATATTTGCCTCAGCTGAAGGCTCTTAGATTTTTCCTGTGCACGATAAGTATCTTGATTTATTTTGCGAGGAAAGATCTGTACTTTTAAAGGATGCCTGTCATTCTTAATACATTCAATTTCGTATAATACTGTGCAACACCTCTGTTGTGAAATAGTTGCTTCAGGCGCCGCCGCACGGCGGCGGGCGGGCGGCCAGCGCAAAACGCGCATTGGTGCCTACAAACCTAAGTGGATACTTCAAGTATTGTGCAATGCGTGAAGTATCCACTTAGGTTTGTAGGTGATAGTGAGCCTTTCGCGCTGGCAGCACGCCGCTCCGCTCTCTTAGGCTTTAATATTTATACTCGCATAGTCAGCGTTTTTTAACTCAGGATTTTGAAATGTTTGCACACTTTGCATTGATTATTCTCATTTAAATCGATGGGAAAAAATATGTATCACTTTATCAAAGGAGAATAATAATATAATGTGTGTTTTTTTAAATATTGGTGGTTTCGTGTCAAATTTAATGATTTCCAAAGCACTTTAATTTTTTCTTTTACATTTTGTGCTTTTATTGTGCTGCAGCGAGGTGTACGCGCAATCGAACGCTCAAAATTTGACGTATTTGACTCTGAAAGATCGATGTACAAATGGATTAAAACTGAAGATTAGGTGCTTCATGGTTTTTTCCCCTCTTTTATTCATTTTTGCAGTTTCTGTCGGCACAACTGCGGCTTATTGAGATTAATGTCGCTTGGAAAAGGTTTTACAAATGTTTGCCACGTTTTAAAAATATAAATGTTTTCAAAATGAAGTAATAATTTCGTAAAGAAAAAATTAAACAAATAAAAAAATACCTATACATATATAAGGTATATTGTACATCGAATATTTTAAGGATAGAAATAAAACCAAATATTCACCCATGACAATTTAAAAAGATGATTCAAAAGGAGAGAGTAATAACATTTCATTCAGAAAATGAGCAACCATAACAGCACCTCTTTCTCTCTCAATTTCTCATTTCCATATTGTCAATGTAATTTTACAAACCGACGAAAACATAACGCTTGGACCAAGTCACTGTTGCTTATTTTACGTGTGGGCGTAAACTACTGAACAAAAAAGGTGCGCGGACAAAAAATCGTTGACAAAATGTTCTGAAACCAACATTTCTGGGTCAGACCCACACCGAAAAAAATAATATGCTGTTTTAGCACCTAGGATGTCAAAAATGTGTCTGGTGATCCCAAAATGCTACCTCTACTGCCTTCGCAGTTAACTTTACATCCTATGCAAATTCAACTGCGTGGGCAATCAAGGTAGCATTTTAGGATTACTAGACACTTTTTTGACATCCTAGGTGCTAAAACAGCATACCACTTTTTTCAGTGCATTCAATTTTCAATAACTCGAGTTAAATATCCATGCAAAAAGAGGGAAGGTGGACACGCTTGACCGTCACACGCGGCTTGCAAAACATCCAAGCCTTGAATAAAAAGCAAAAGGCGGTATCCGCTTTCACTTTCTAGGGCAGCTTCCCGAGGAGTGTTCTCTAACGGGCGGCACGATTCAGTCGACGTACCTATTATCAAATAGTGCATTACATCTCGTGCGAATCTCGTTACATGCTGGACATGCCTTACTCCGCTGCACAGAGAGCCAGTTGTTTATCTCGACTCGTGCTGACCACCGGCTCCACACATGCAGAATTGCCAATTATGGACCACGGTTTTCACGTGCGTTTGCAGAGGCTCCAACAGCGGAGAAAGGGTTGTCCAGAGCATTTGTGATTTTTCCCCGCTTGGAAATGGACCGACGCGGTGAAGCGGAAAAAGCTGGATCGCTCTCTTCTGATTGTGTCCAGCTCTGCCGTGCTAAGGAAGAACGGCGTATGCACATTCGACAGTTGCCAAATTTCCTTCGATAAAATGTTTATTTTTGAGGAAATTTATGCATATTTTTTCTTAAAACTTTCAGACATTTTTGATTAAATTGCGTAAAACAATGTGTGAAAATTTTGGAAACAAATATTAGCAATTTTCTCAGTAAAATCGACTTTTATTGGGGGAGATTTGGCAGCGCCTGAAGGCTCATACGGCGTTTTTCCTTAGCACGGCATTGATTGTGTCCAGCTCCCTCGCCTCAACCGTCAGCTTTTTATCTTTGCACATTACCTATTCAAGTGTGTTAACCGCGAGAGAGATTTTTTCCAGTGGCGTGGCTTGCCTTGCGATATATAGTGATCTGCCATTTAAACCTATGGAAAATGATCGATAAACAGGGTGTACGCAACGAACACCTCAATAATCGATTTTTTATGATAGCTTTAAAATGGGGAAATATCGACAATCGATCATTCGCGCCTCGAAACTGATTTGTTCCAATTGCTCTTTCGGCGGCGAAAAATGCGAGCGCCTCATGAATATATCAAAGTTATCTGTAGACTTTACAACGAAAGCAACTTCTCTACAATATTATTACGTTACCTATTTACAGTGTGAGTAAAATATTTTAGGTCATGTTTTAAAGTATTAAAGTGCTATGTTCTAAAACCCTAACACGTTTTTTTCTCTCTCTCTGTCTTCCTCTTTTTCCTCTTGCACTGAAAGAAGTATATCGGTTGATCTTACTACAAAAAACCCCAAAAAACTTTCAGATTCTAAGGGGTAAAGAATNCACCAAGATCAATGGAATCCGTGCCGTCGTTTGGGCTGCAGTCGAGTTCGAGTCGAATCAATTTTCAGAATAAGGGAGTTACGTGTGTCTATGGTTGGCTGCCACCTTTTTCGTTTGGAGGCTTTCCAGTGTTGTCGAGTTTAGACTTTGTCCGGAGGTGGCTACCGCCACCCATGATTAAATGGATCTAATAGTTGTAATGGCCAGATGCATTATATTTTACAGGCATCTCACTGCTATATTTCCTATCAAATATGTTCAGAATCGACCATATTGTACCATATTGCCGAAAAACCTACGCTACACGCATCAAAATTCAAAATGATCTCCCTCCAAACACCCACACTTTAAACTCTTAACTATTAACTCTCAGTTTCATATTGCGTCAAAATTTTCCTCTCTATTTAAAAAGAATGCAAGAATACAAAAAAAAGGTCAATCTACTTTGAATTTCAAGGTATTCCATTCATCACAAGTCCCGCTATCAAAACAAACGGTTATACCCTGAAAAGCCGCGGTGCTCTTTTGACCCTCAAGAGAGTGCAAAACCACTAGCGGTTGCTCTGCATTAATCCGTGATGCACGTGACCGTGCATCTCAAAAATGTGTCAGAACAAATTTTTGAGACATTAGAGTCGGAGTCCTCTGTCCATTCAAATAATAAAAATAAAGAGAGGTGACAGTTGCGCGGCCACTTCAATATGTCAAGTTGACACAGATGTCGGTCTGTCTTCTGTGGCGCTAGGAATCCATCAAGGTTAAAGCAGACATCCAGGTTTATTCCCTATGTTTACTTAGGTGCGTGTATAGAAATAAAAAAAAAATGCAAAGAACCAATGAGATTAAAAGACACTTCGCTCTTGGCTTGCGCACTGCCTATCACTTGAATTATATCTGTCAGTTCAGCAAGGTTAACAGAAATTTTCATAATTTAATATGACGAAATATTTATCAACTTTTGTTTCAATAGTTTTGGCGTCAGTTATTGAAATCAGACTGAGAATGAAAGCATTAGGTTATTATTAAGACGAAACTGTGATATTACTTAAAAAATGGTTCGAACTCGGGAATTCGTGTAACCATACCGCCTTTTATCCTATGATTGCAATGAGTGATACATTTGGCCCTTAAACTTTCAGTTAATGAGAAAAACTTACCACGCAGACTCCAAAAATAACGACAAATAGGAGGGATCCAAGACCAACCACCGTGACAGCAATGGCCCATTGTGGGAGCCACATGTCCTCCTCCGCCATGGCAACTTGAGGCACAATTTGCCTTTGCAACACTGTAATACAGAACACGAGTTTATTCAGTTCCATTTTAATGTTTTCAATTCAAGCGATTTAATTTCACTTCTCACTTTTGCGCGTTTTTTCTAATATTCAACAAGTAAAATTTTATAACTAAACCTCGATGATTTTATGAACATGATGAATTTTTTTTTTTTTTTTTTTTTTTTTTTTTTTTTTTTTTTTTTGGTGCGGTCCTTTACTTTTCTAAGCGAAATGAGGTATCTTGAGAGGTCTCGCAAATAGTGTGCCCATACAGTTGAATAGAAATGATGATGATACTAATGATAATGTTGATGATACTGATCATCAGTAACAGAGTAAAAATGATATAAGGTGATCCTGATGCAATTTGCAACTTTTCTTTAAAAGTATACGTAATTTTTGCTACTTTCTTACGTGCTTGGCAGTATTTTGACATTGAATATTTTTATTTCATAGTTTATCCATATCCCAACACCAAAAAATTAATAAATAAACAAATAATGGAGTATCCATGCCATTGAGGAGGAAAAAATGAATGGGCATGATACTAAAATATACCTTCTAAGATCAAGCCACTCAAAGTCTAAAATCCTTTCATTTATTTATTAATTTTATATATTTCCCCAAGTTACAATATCAATAAATGCTTACCAACAAAATCAATATGCTTAGGATCAACCATAAAGTTGCCCATTTGAAGCGGTTCATTTTGAGAGGTGTCCTTAAGATTGGAGTTTGACGGCGATTTTAATAGGCTGTTGTGGAAGAGTCGCTTCAGATCAGCAGTGTTCACACTTCTGCCCAGCTCGTTTAGTTCGACAAAGTAATCCACCAACACGCTTCCCTCACTGAAAATCATCGAAACAACAAATGAAATTGGAGAACAATGATAATCCATTAGGACAATAAAAATTCAGTCGTTTGGAAAGGTATAAAACACGAATAAAAAATATCAAATCAACATACCAATCGAATAAATAAATGCAGAAACTTCAAAATAAAGTGAATTTAACCGGCAATCAGTCAGTTTACTGCCTTAATCTCACCAATAAATGCACAAAAAAATAAAGCAAATCTCCTTCGTCACAGTCAGTACGTCATGATAATTCAGACCGTGTTTAAAAAAAAAATTGGTAAAGTTCATTAATCAAATCATGGTGACAATATTTGGGGTTCCTGGAACCTGCGTGAATGTAACATTATTAATGGGATTGCGTATTTAACGTCACCGCAGAATTCATGCAGATGAGTTTAACGAGGAAAACAGTGCGAAATCATAACGGCTACTTTCACAATTCACTGATCCAGCATTTAAAATTAATGATCACTGAGGTCGTTAGAATTTTAGGCGAAAAAAAATGGCGAAAATTTACCTGAAAGCATCGATCGTGATTTTCTTGTACCAGCGACTGAGTTCCTCAGAGGTACTGTACAGGATCTCCAGCTGAAATGTAGAAAACAGAGACCACGTTTAAAATAATATGTATTTAACCCTTTGATCGTGCTATAAACTCAATAATATTTCATAGATTTTAAGAAAAACAGTTTGTAAAATTGATCATAATGAAGTAATCTCTGATCGTTGCATCCTACTTCAACGTTCAAACAGGCTCATTTGGCTCCTGTTCAAAGATTCGTCTTTCTTGGTTTTCGATGAGGAAAAAAAGTATTCCAGAAATCCTCTTTAGAGATTATCACACATTTATGTTTAAAGAGCAGCATTAAAGCCTTAATCAATGATAGCTGCTGCGCGATGGTTTGATGATTCCCTTCCATGTTTTGAGAACGACCCTTGAAAATGTCAAGCGACGAAATTGGCTGATTACCTCTTTAAAAAAAAAAAATTAAATCAGAATCCATTCAAACTGAGTAATCAAGGTAAAAGTTCGATCTTTTAGTTTAGACATTAATAAATAAATTGCAGATATTTAATAATCTTTGGAAACGACAAGAAAAAATACTCTTGATTCAATCGGATTTTTGTTTAAATCAAGAACCAAGCCTCTTAATTTGAGCGGATTTCCTTGATGTAAGCAAACATCTGATTGAATCAAGAGTATTTTTTCTTGTCAATGTTTTCAAGAGTCTTGACTCTAGATCCAATGTGTTTCGATGAATTGCAATAATTTTTATCGGCATAGTGAATATTTGCTGGTAAAGGCATTTACAAGTGCGATCTCCGCCTTAGAACGCCTTCAATTTCGGCGATACTCTACGCTTCATCACTGAGTTAGTTTAGTTGCCTATTCGATCCAAAGTCATCTCGGGTCACAAATATCACAACGTGCACACTCTATCGCTCTCCTAAATGCGCTTGTTACTACTATAGTTTTACGGAGGAAAATGTGTCTATTCGTATTGAAAGAAAAATAATCAGTACTCTAATACTGTTCCTTTTCTTCTGACTTTAATGATTTTTTATTTGTTCACCAGTGGCTTGCAAACGGTGGCAATTACTAATTGCCAGCGACACATACGTAACTTGCAATGTTTTTTAATTAAAACGTCTGTGATCATCCCCAGTGATGAATGTTTTAGGTTTTATTTAGACGCATACGAAAAATGAATTGAGACTCTTAGGGGAACAAGGCGCACAGTAGGTGCAGTTTTTGCTATCTCGAGAAATACGTGTTTGAAGTTCCTAAATTACATGGATCCTTAAGGCGGATAGAAAGCTTAAAAATTGGAATTTAGGAGCGAATTATTCGCAGAATATGAATTAAGACTAGTTTAACTTTAAATCATCAATATCGCAATTTTTCCAAAAACTTCACTTATGCCCCTCGTCCTCCAAGCCCCTCAATTCTAAGTGAGGTAGTCTGCCTCAACTGGAATCAATATTTCAATGGATGTTTATTAAATCGAGGGGAAAAAATGCTACCAACCTGCAAACATGGACGTATTCATGCGAAAAGGGACTATGTGCGTAGGATTTGCGAGCAACATAGTTCTTTTTAGCATGAATATGTCCAAATCTGCCTTGCTAAGAAAGAACGCTGTGTGAACCTTCGTGGGTTGCCAAATTTATTTTGGTAAAATACGAATTTTCATGGAAACTTGTCAACATTTTCCTTCCAATTTTTCAATGAATTTTCTTTCGCAATGTGATCCAAAGTATCAGAGAATTTCAGTTAGAAATATTCTTTATTTGCCTCAAAAATTGATGTTTTAAGATGAGAAATGTGGCAACTCTCAGATGTGCATACGGCGTTTCCCCTTAGCACGGCAGAAATGGTCAGCAAACATTTGCACATGCGGAATCAACCTCACTGGAAAAAAAACCACATTGGATCTAGAGTCTAGACTCTTGAAAACATTGACAAGAAAAAATACTCTTGATTCAATCAGATTTTTGCTTACATCAAAAGGAAATCCGCTCAAATTAAGAGGCTTGGTTCTTGATTTAAGCTTAAATCCGATTGAATCAAGAGTACTCTTTCTTGTCGATTTTTTTAAGAGTCTGGACTCTAGATCCAATGTGTTTTTTTCCAGTGAAGAAATACTCTTTATTTGCCTCAAAAATTGATGTTTTAAGATGAGAAATTTGGCAACTCTCGGATGTTCATACGGCGTTTCTCCTTAGCACGGCAGACATGGCCACCGAACATTTACACATGCGGAATCAACCTGCTGAATTTGAACCAGGGTGAATTGGACTGCACTTTGCACTTTGCAATTTGGAACTATAAATTCTGGCCCGGTGTAAAAACAACGTATGTGCCATTAGTTTCCCTACGCACATAGGTGTTTTTTCAGATGAGCCAGAATTTATAGTTCCAAATTGCAAAATGCAGTCCAATTAAGACTGAGAGTGTATGCTGACCTGGTGCTTGACCTCGTTGGCGAGGGTTTGGTACTCCTTGGTGTTGTGGTCGAGGAGCTCCGGGGACCACTTGGCACCGCCGACGAGCTTGATGGTGGCCGCCAGGTCGCAGTTCTCCGTGCAGTAGCCGGGGGTCGTCGGGGCCCGCGTTGTCGTCGTCGTCGTTGTCGTCGTCGACGTCGTTGACGTCACCTCGGTCGTCGTCTCCGTCCTCTGCGTCGCCGCCGCCGCTTTGGCCGCCTCGATCAGCTTCTCCACCGAGATCGGCGTCGTGGGTGGAGTCGGCCAACCCGTGAACTCCGTCGTCGACCTGAAACCAACGAGACGTCCGTTCAGACCACATTCCACCTGCTCGCCGAGTGTATGGTTTCACACCGTTCGATTCATCGAGTATCGATGTTTAATAATCATTGAATATCATGAATATCACATTGAATAATCAGTATACAGGGTGTCCCAGGATTATGTACAAATATTGAAGGAGTTGATTCTTTGGGCCAAAAGAAGATGTTTTTGTGGTATAACTTTTTTTTCGAGAAACGCTTTCCTTGGGGGTCCCATTATCCCCCTTTTATCAGCTCCTATTATTCCCTATAAGTCTCTATTATCTCGAAAACGATATAAGTTATAGCGAAAAAACGCAGGAGACATTATCTCAATATTTTTCAACGCTAAATCTTGTGGTGCCGTCAAAAATCAATTTTCGTCGCTAGGAACATTAATTTTGGCCACTTTTAGATTCGATACCCCCCTTAAACCCCCCTAAAAATGAGTTTTACCCGTTTTAGAGGTCAAAAATGAAAAGAACGCTAAAAATTAAACCTAATTTCCAATTTTCATTAATATTGGTTGATAAACATTGCCGCAGTGTTAAAAAGACGATTTTTTCCCTCCAATTTTGCGGAGTCGTGGCGCCCAGGGAAAGCGTTTTTGGAAAAACATTTATACCACAAAAACGTCTTTTTTTTACCCAAAGAATCGACTCCTTCAATATTCGTATTTAATCCTGGGACACCCTGTATTCACAAAGTATCAGTGTCGTCATTGAACAATTAGTATACAACGGTGGCGAGGCGTGAATGGTCGATTTTTGATACTTCCTCATTTGAAGCTATGGTAAGGAATTTATTAGTTAAGTGTTGATTGCAAAAAGCCTGTTTATCGATCCTTTGCCATAGGTTTACATGGTAGATCGATCGATGTATCGCAAAGCACGCCACGCCACTGGTATTGAGTGTGTTACTGGATCCCACGCGGAAGGAAAATATTGCTTAATGGCTACTCGATTCCTGATTACAAATCCATGGCCGAACTGCGAAAACACGTACCTCCATTGCGGTGTTTCAAAATTTTCGCCCCTATTTTATTTTTTGAAGAGAAACCAGCCAACTTCACTGCTTGAGGTTTATACAGAATATTCTACTAACAGAGAAGTAAAGTCAAAGCAGTTTTCAAGAAATTCTGTTTACTAGTTCTAGAGAAAAAGTAGTGTGACAGGAAATCTGCAACTTCGTAAACGGAGATACGTGCTTTGCACTTTAACCATCGATATGATCCCAAAAAAAAACTGATGACCAGCAGTAAATTTCTGTCAGTGCTTATCAGGTGGCTGGTTAAGATGGCCATAACCAAGATTAACGACAGAAATCTAGTAGTTTTTAAGTGCACAATGTAGTTCAACTTAAAGAGACTTAAACGCGGGGTAAAGAACGTAGAGCAAGGACTCAGCCCAATTCTGTCATAATCGCTAACTGTAGGCAAGCTTTACTTTCACATCTTTCACCATCTTGAGTGAAATTACCGTGGGACGCCATAACATTTGCATTATGTTCGGAAAACGTCTTATATATTGCAGGCAAATAGTCAGATCAGGCGGTTATCAAATGTTTAGTCAGATACTCAAATTTTGACAGTTAACGAAATTTTGTAAATTCATGGCGAAGAAATCACGAGCTTTCAATTTTTGGGGAAAATGACTCATCAAATCTACGAACTCGTCTTGTTCCTTTCTCTTCAAGTTATTTTCGTATATTTAAATGTTAAAATTTTAAAAATGCTGTATTTATGACATGCTGAACATTTCAAGATAAATGTGCTTTCAGGAGCCAAAAATCGTTTCAAATACTATTGTATGTTGCATACTACAACGAATAATCTCTTACAGTAACAATGAAGTATTTCTTATAAAATTAAGAAATAATCAACATTTCATTTTAAGTAAGAATATTTGACTATTTGTCTAGGCATTCGACAAAGTGCCTAATTTGACTATTCGCCTACGACACATATCGACGGTGTAAGTTGGCAATCACAAAACTCGGTTTGCGACGTCGCAGACTTCCTGTCATACTTAAGTTTCTAAACGGAAAACTACTCAACGGTAATTTTTTAAAACTGCCGTGAATTTTCTTCTCTGTGCGAAGATAATTCTGCATAAACATTGAGGAATGATGTCAATTTGTTCTCCTTTAAAAAATAGCATAGAAGTGGAGATTTACACACACCGTAAACGAGATATATGATTGCGGACTTACACCGCCGATATAAAAATAAAATGAGTAAAATAGCGCAAGTTGACAAGCTGAGCCGAGTTCACGGAGAGCCAAGCGTTCTTGGCACCACTCTCGACAGTAGAAAGTCTGCTTTGTCAAATTAATTTGAATTTTTGGCTATTCGGAGCCTACGATTTGACAACTTTTATGGCGGACCCGATGGAAACTCGCTGTCTCATCGCGAGCGGTGATTGACATGGCTAGGCGGTACCGGTGGATGCGAGATGCGAGAAAGTGACGACGCGACGGGCGGACGGGCCGATGTCCAGTCCTCGCGTGTCGCGTACCGGAAAAGCGAGACTCCGGGGGTCCAGTTTCCGGATTCCAGTCTTTTCCGGATCACCCAGGATCATTCCGTACGCTCGTACATGCACCTCCGCCCAAGTCCACTACTTCCTTATGTGAAAATCGCTAGGTGCAGCCGTGATCGAAATCGACTGTGATTTGGATCGGTTCCTCCGTTTACAGCTCCACGATCTATTTAACTTCAGCTTGGCATGATGTATGAGCGAATGCGTTTTGCGTGGATGCATATTTTTCTAACTGATAAATATTGCATTGAGGGGCTTGGAGGACAAGGTGCATTAGAGCAGTTTTTGCGGGAGTATAGACGGATGTGAAACTCCGAAAATCCATCAGGCCCTCACCGATGCCTCCGCGCAAATAAAGTTAGTGCCCAGAATTGCAGCCAATCTATGAATTTCAATTATCCAGAGCGCTTCACTAACACAATTGTTACGAACCATCGTTTATAAAGCACGAGGTCATATGGATCTCTGAAGTTTTCTGATCACGCATCCGAAAACTTCAGAAATCCATATGACCTCAACTTCGGGTCCCACACACGAAGTTTTTTTTTCCGTGTAAAAACGACTATTACATGCATAAAATTTGGCGCTCGCATGGGCCGGACCCCGTATTATTCTATTAGATTCAAGATCAGAACAGGATTCCACGATGTATGCTATTGAGTCATTACTCGTAATGGGTAGCATGCAGAATTTTCTTGAAGTAAGTGTGAAGACGAATCGTTTTGCGGTGGCGTTGCGGGGCCCTAGAGAACGGACACGACGCGACGACAACGTGCGGGAATCGAGATTCGTTTTGAGCACGAAATCGGTAACGAATCCTGTCGCCAGCGCGCATATTACATAAAACAGTGTGACACACTTAACAATGTTTCGTTTTCTCATTGTGACATTGTGCGGGAGCGTCCGCTTGTCCATCCTCTTTGACGCTCTATGATCATGCCCCCCTTCTCCTTCTCGTCCCACGACGGGCGCACTTTCACGAACATTTTCGGTGTAGTCCACTGCGGAACGCAAATTCTATCGTGCCACCCCTCTTCATCAATGCCCGCATCCCTGACGGAGAAAGCTTGGACATGCTGTAGCGTACGCACTGCAGCTCTACAAAGCGATTGGGGGAGGGGGGGCATTGAGTTTCTCTTGCCAATTTAGTGCCCTGTAGACTAATGAACTATGCTTTGCATGCCATTAAAAGTAAAACGATCGAAGCCGTTGCAGCGCTTTGAAGTGCATGTTTGGAGTCATTTAAATTTCTTGACCGTCAAGAGATTTGAGGGGCTTGGAGGACAAGGCTCATAAGTGCAGTTTTTGAAAACATTGACATATTAATGATTAGAAGTAAAACTAGTCTTAATGCATATTCTGTGAAAAATTTGCTCCCGAATTCCAATTTTTGAGCATCAAAAAGCCAGTTGGAACTTTCAACTTTCTCTCCTTCGTGAGGATCCATGTAATTTCGAAACTTCAAACTCGCATTTCTCCGGATAGCAAAAACTGCACTTAAGCGCCTTCTCTTCCCAACCCCTCATTTGTAATTCCAGGAGGGACTACATCACGCAAGATGGAACTACTTCTCTTGACTCATCCGTGAAAAAAGCTACGTACAAAGGGAAACTATTGAAAAACACGCGGACCCCAAAATGTTTTATCCATATAGCGCGACACAGCTCCAACTCTTTCTAAATTTGCTCAAACTTTTGGGGATTCTCTAATCTCTCTAAAGCGACAAAAGGTCTCTTTGAAAAGTCCCAGGAGTTTTGTTTGAAAATTAAGATTTCCTATTGTTTCGACGAGAAATCTCCGTCATGGCGTGCTTGACGGGGATTTCTGTTGATCCAACAGGACATTTTTCTCAGTAAAGTATGCTAATTTTCAAGGATCAAAGTTACAAAACACTTAGATGGCTCAACCTGATCGGTTGGTTGAGAATCAATTTCACCGTCTTAATTTCCTGCTCTGCCTGGGTTCTGTTTCAGACGCAACGCCGATCACGTGACGGGCAGACGCGAGCGAACCAGTACCGCCCATGCAGACGGAGTAATTAAGCTTTCACCGAAACGGACTTTCGGTGAGCTTTACCGGCGACCGATCGTGCGCGCCTCGCGGAGGCTTTCAGTGACAGAGCCAGCGGCTCGCATTGACCTGCAATGTATCTTTAATATGCCAACCGCGACCTCCAAATGTATCCGGTAGCGGGAGTCACCGCTCCGCTGCCACTTCTGTTCGCCGCTGCCACGTTTTGGGAATTCTTGCCCATTATTCTGAATTTATGGGGTCGCGCGAGGAAAATTCGAGAAGACCAGCCGGTGTCGATGCCAAGTTCAACTTCCAAATCGTGAAGTCGAAGGTACACGATCCAATGCCAGTGACCGCCGTGGTTATTTTATGAAAGAAATGCCCTTTAGGAAAATTAAAAATACCTTCTGACCTTATTTTGGGGACACATCTAAAGAGAAATTTCATTTTTAAAATGATTACATGAAATAAGAATTTAGGGAGACTAAGTTTTATAGAGTTTAGGTCATTTTTCTTGTATAGTTTAATAACTTGTATTCATTTGCTCGTGCTCAGTTATTGTTACATTTACATGATCGTAGGTGTACGTTTTGGTTCTTAAAATCTCCTACGGCATGATTAAACTTACCACTATTAAAAGCACACTCGTTTCGGTACTAAATTGGACCACGTTGTGCCATAATGAGTCACTGTCTCTGGCTTAATCATAAAATCACCTATCATTATAGGTGAGATAATACGTTGTTTCTAAAAATGAGCCAGAATGAAGACTCTCTATTACAAAATGAAGTCAAATTATCTTAAGTAGATTTGTGACAAAAGGGATCATTCAGGAGACAACGGTGGGGAAGGGGGCACTAAATTTGACGGAGAATGCGTTTTTTCTGAAGTTTTCCTCTCTCAAGCAGATATTTACATTTCAATAAACAATTTGCCCAACAAATAAAGATTTAGTTCCAATCAGTAACATTTCCATAAGTTAAGTTTTTTGAAAGAGGTGTTTTTCTTTCCGATTCCTAACATTATTGATTCGCTCTCAAATTTAAAATTGTGATAAAAAACATCCAAAATTAAACATACCAAAACAGACGTCTCGACCGCCAGCAACTGCGGTCTTCCTCAGTGCAAGTGAAAACATTTTACAGAAACAAATTTAAATACGATTAATTATTAAAATAATCACTGAAAAACAAATATGATAGATTTTACCATACTAAGACACAGTGATACATGTATGGTAATAAACACCAGACTCTATAGTAGCATTTACCATATCATGGTAACTTCACTAGAGCTCTGGTGAATACTACCGTAATTCTGGTTATTTTCACTAAATAGTATCACGGTGCAAGAAATCCAGTAGACTTATAGTAGATAATACCATACTTTTTTTCAGTGATAAAAAAATTATTTAGTTATTAAATTAATTATTTAATTTAATTTTGTGTAGCTCTATTATTCTTTCAATCTTTTTACCATGATCTACTAGAGCTAGCCAAATTGGCATTAACATGTATTAAACATACCTTTGTGGCCATCCTTTCTGGATTTTGGGCGGCAGGACGAGCTGACCTCCCTTGGACCTCGGGGGCTTCCTCGTCGTCGTCGTCGTGGTCGATTTCTCCTCTTCGGCCGGCTTCTCCTCGGACTCGGACGTCGCGTTCAACTTGACGCCAGGTGGCAGGAACGAGCTGACATCTTTGAACTGTATCTTCCCGAAAAGCGACTCCAGCGGAGACTTGGCCGTCGTGCTGGCGGGCGCTGCCGTCGTCGTCGTGAAGTTGGCCGGCAGGAAGTTGCTCACGTCCACAGGCTTCACCTTCTTCAGGATATCCTCCAGAGACGTCTTCACGGGTTCCGCGTCTTTGGGCGGCTTGTAGCCCGGGGGAAGGAGTGCGCTCACGTCATCGAACTTGATCTTGCTCGCGAACCCTTTCCGGACGTCCGTGTCGTTCTTCTTGGGTTTCGGCCGCTCGGTCTTCTCCTCTTCCTGCTTGGGAGCCTCCTCGCTAGCCTCCGTCGTCGTCGTGATGGGCTTCCGGATCTTGCTCTGCTTGAAGCCCGGAGGAAGTAGTCCGGACACATCTTCGAACTGGATACTCTCCGAGAGCTTGCTCTTCTTTGTCGACGGACGCGGGGAGGTCGTGAACTTCGGACTGAAAGGACTGAATTTCCTTTCGGGAGTTGACGCCTCCTCAGTGGTTGTTGGCTTCGGTGTGGTTGTCGTCGTAACGGTAGTCGCGGCTGTTGTCGAGGTGGTTGTCGATGACTTCTCCTGCTTCTCGTTTCCGAAGTCAGGAACCTGGAGGTCAGGTTTGTTCGAGGCCGGCTGAAATCTATCCAGAAGGACGCCGCTTGAAAGATCCGACTGAACTCGGTCTAATTTGTCGATGATGCTCTCTGTCGACACTTCGGTGGTTGATCGCGCAGTGGTGGGTGTTTCTTTGAGATCCGTGATTCCAGGATCGACGGTCGATTCCGTCTTGACTTCACCGGAGCCTTTCGGTAAGAGAGGTTGAATCTGCTCCTCCTGTTTAATGGCACCCGAGGGCAAGAACCTCGCCCCGGATACACTCCGGCTAGTTTGAACGGAAGCCACGATCACCCAGCTCTCTGTCGTCGGCGAGTTCGTCTTGGCGGCGGGGTTGAACGGTTTTATGGTAACTTTACCTTGTTCCTTCTTCGGCTCTTTTACGCTGGGTGTTGCAGTCGTGGATGCCGGACGTTTAGAGGTGGTCACGGAAGACTGTACAGACACGGTCATTTTCTCGTCAGACACTTCCTTGTTTTTCTCTTCCTTCGAAAGCTGCGGGGTGTCAACATCGATTGAGCCACTGTCAACAAACTCCGCGAAGTTATCATCGGAAACTAAAGTTTGATCTTTATGCATGGGGAGGATGTCAAACTGGGACTCATCATCTTCGTAGAACTCCTCATCCTCACCTTCCTCTTCTTCGTCCAGTTCTTCGTCCAGAGGTTTTTCAGGCTCCTTCGACTGTTTTGTGACCTCTTTGGCCTTCTGGTTGTTCTGCGTGGTCGGGTTGAATCTACTGAACCCGCGATTGATGTTGGTTCTGGGAGCTGAGGTAGATGGAGGAGGGTTGGTTTTCGGTGGCTGCCTGGTTGTGGGCGTGTTGCGTTCCCGCGAAGAAGGGAAGCGTGACTTGATGGTCGGGGTCTTCGGAGCCGCCGTTGTTGTTGCTTCAGGGGCGGCAGTCGAAGAGGCGGTTGGCCGGAACCTCAACTCTGGCCTACCAGATAGGAACTTCGTTTGGGCTTCGTGGACTTCCTGAGGAGTTTTCCCTTGCTTCGCGTAGTAATTCTCTACAGGCCGAGAGTTGGTGGGTCTTGCACGGTTTGTCGAGCCCTCGGCCGGTCGCAAGAATGTCGATTCTTCTGAGTTATCTTCGAACTCGTACTCGTCGATTTCTTTCTGTGGCGCGACGTTATCCCGTTGACTGTTCTTCACGGGTATTGGGATTCGTGTACCAACTGGAGGAGTTAAGGGGTTGTCACTATCTAAACTTTGGCTCTCTGTTTTCTGAGCGGTCGGGTTGCCTCTCCACCTATTTCTCGGGGGCGACAAACTGTCGACGAATGCTTGAGATTGTTGGACATTCCCGAAACTCTGCGTTGTCCGCGAGTTGCCCGGCGCAGTTTTGAAGGTATTTGAGAATTTGAATCTATCCTGCTCGGGGCTATTCCTAATAGTTTGTTCTTGTCGTACTGTGGGTGATTCGGCGGTTCCGAAGGATTGAACCAACGATGGATTCGTTCGGAAACTAGTGTCTTGATAGTTTTGTCTGGATTGAGCGTTCGCTGCTCTTACGGGACTAGAGTTTTCAAAAGTAACGGGTGCAGGGTTAGAATTTCGTGGGGGTAACTGGTAAGTGGTAGGAACGGAGAACCCCTGGATTTGAGGAAACTGACTGGGGATATCTGACGTTTGAAGATCGTCCTCCTGGTAGCTGGGGACGGTGGCCCGATATGGCGAAAACGGCCCCGAATTGGTGCGCGGGAAAAAATTCGAGAATTGACTCGCGCTGGGGTCATCTCGGACGAATGGCTGCTGCTGGAACTGAGGTGTGAATTGTGGCTGCTGCTGCCCGACTGTGTTTGTGAAGAAGAAGTTTTGACCTGAAACAAACAAAACAGTTTCGGTTGTAATGACTCAGAAATTTAGAAATATTGGTGCAATATTTCATTTTCAAAAACATCAAAGATTTTTGAGCAGAGCTCTGCCCCTCCCCTTCCACTCCCCAAAAAAGTGTGGTTTGAATGTATTTTGGTGCAAAATTTTCAATCTAAGAGTTCAAAAACGAAACATTCATTATTATGAGCCGCCCCAGAATCGGACGCTATTTTGTCCTCTCAGACAGAGCTTCGTGATGAAGGAGAGGGTTATAGTATTCTCTCGAAAAATGAGTCGAAGCAGAGATTATGAAACATTATGATGCTACTGGTGTAAGTAGTTACGAAATGAAGTGTTCTCTATGGGCATGTATAAATGCTTCAACTTGATTGATTGTATATAACTCCGAAAAATTTTACATCTGACGAATCTGATCAAATTAGACAGATTCCAGGATCCTCAAAATCAGATTTTTTTTTTCATTGCCTGAAACTTTGTGTTTCTTTTTCATTTTGGCTTACATTTTAGCGTTTATTTACAGCGCGAGCTTGTATCAAGCTAGGAAAATTGAGTCACCATACATATTGGTGGATTGCTTCATTCCTTAGGCTGAACGGACGCGTGTATTTCTCGCGCCAGAGGAATGCATACAAGGTGATTTAAGTAAAATCGTAGCTCTTGATGCAAGTGATAATATTCATGCATCAACCAAATGCAAGTGACAGAACGTAACCCCACAAAATGACTCATTTAAGTTACTCACGGCGGAATCCACGCAAAGTGGGCGTTCTACGCGTCAGACGGATTAACTAATTGCAGATGCGATGCGTCAATTTATTGGCCGCCGACCTTATCTTAAGTTTTAATCGAAACGATTTAATAACCTTGATTTTATTACCTCTGATAACAAAAAGGAGAGGCAAGGAATCAAGGATTAGCCTTGATCCCCGCTTACTGCTCAATTCTACCGTCATCGGAACAGCATATCAATCTTAGTTTTATCAAACTAAAATATCGAACGCTAAGCTGGTACACGTACGTGATGTTTGTAAAAAAAAAATTCCAAAGATTCAGTAATTTTTTCCGAGATAAATCAGAATTAAAATCAGAATTGATGGCAACTTAAGACAGGAGGACCTTTCTTATGACGTTAAGCTTGTCTAAGTATGGAATTAGTGAAAATGAAAACGAAAATGAATTTTCTTCGCAAAAAATTTTGCACTCGAACCTCACTCTTCCCAAAAATCCTAACAAATTCATGAGCACTTCTTCAGATTTTCAAGAAGTTTTTTAATGAAAGACGCATTCACGTTAGAGTTTCGACGAAATTGGTTACGGAAGCTGCCTTTTTTTATCCACGACACACTGGAAAAAAAAACACATTGGATCTAGAGTCCAGACTCTTAAGAACGTCGACAAGAAAAAATGCTCTTGATTCAATCAGATTTAAGTTTAAATCAAGGACCAAGCCTCTTAATTTGAACGGATTTCCTTTTGATTTAAGCTTAAATCTGATTGAATCAAGAGTCCTTTTTCTTGTCAATGTTGCTAAAAGTCTGGACTCTAGATCCAATGTGCTTTTTTCCAATGCAAAGTAGGAAGAGGTAGAGTCATTCCTTTTTTCTATTTTTTCAATTTTAGTTCATTAAGATTTTCAGCTACCTCTTAACTTTGTTACCATTTTTTGAAGAATACAAAGTCATTTCTCTTTCTACTCTCCCTTTATTGCTATAGATGTTATGCGTAATTAAAACGTTCGTGATAAAGTTACAAGAACTTCACATTTTTTAATCTCCGTTTTTATCACTTCTTCCCCGCCTTTTAACTTTAGCAGACACGCCTAGGTCGAATTTGTTGCTTACCATAAAAGGAAAAACACAGCGTAGCAGAGGGAGAAAATGCACTCTTTTCCGTTCCGACGATATTTAAACAAGTAGCGCATTAAGGTGTTCAGATTCATGTTCGAGCTGTGTAAATTCGACCCAATCCAATGTTAAGCTTCAACCACTCATCGAAGGTTAATGTCAAGCGACAGTAAATGCTGGAAGGAACAACGCCCATCGGCTTCACGCCTCCTTCATCAGGGTCTTGAACGCACTAAACGCCGGATTCTAATCGCCAAGAAACGCGTAACGCCCATGTAAACCGGGTGCAGATTAGCGGTTTTTACCTCGAGGTTTCTGGTCGAGCACGACCTAGGGAAGAATCTGGAATAGCGATCGACATCTTCGGCGCTTCGTGATGAATAAGCTTGTTACCCTTAATTTACGAGCATCGTTAAACTTTCCGTCGCGGAATCAATTAATCGCGGTCCCGCCCGCATCAAGTTAATCAGATCACGAGGTTTACACGCAGGAATACGATTTTCGGCCTGTTGCCGATATTCTCTTCCGAGAGTTGAGTTTAAGCAACTTAGTGAGAAAAAAAATATTTTTGGCAGGATTAAGTCAATATTTTTGGAGATTTTTTGAATTTATTGATTTGTCAAACATAACACTAGAGGAAAATTGAGTTGATCTGGAGTTATTTGGACAGACATTTTCTTGAAATTGCTGCCTTGGGAAATTCTTGTTAAATCTAGAAGAAACTATGCCTACATCTAGAGGAAAGATGCCTGAAGAAAACAAAAACCTTTTTCATTCATGCAGGGCTTGATTAATGAAAAATTTTTTTGGATGGTAAACTTAAGTCACTTTTTGCCAGTTATGGCAACAAAATAATAGGATTGATCCATAATGGAAATACTTAAGCAATAAATATTGAAAATTGGACAGTATTTTTTGAAAAATTCGATTATTACTACCAAGATACCATAAACATTCAGGCCGTACTTTTAATTTAGTATTTTTTTCCAATACTTAACAAGATCTTAAAATGTTATATTACCTTCAAGTCTATTCCAAGACTAAACCAAAATTGCATTTTAAAATTGTTATTTAAAAACTGATCCCAATAATACTCTATAAAGACTCATACAATACTTTCATTAAATTCAAAATTGTCATAATATTATCGAAATGCTCCTTTTAATTCTAGGTTTCTTCACTAAATTTGTGAAAAATTAGAATTTATCCAATAACTTAGCAGCATTGGTCGATCGACTGAGAGAAAACTTTACGCGAAAACAATACGAGAGTAAGGTTGCGCTTTCAACAAAGGGCAAGGGCAACCGACGGAATTCGCCGATTGGCTGACAAAAGGGCGTAACTACACTTATAGATGAGCCCGGGAAAGCATTGAGTTATATGGACTACAGGGTTCATGACGAGGTGTAGTTACGTTTTTATGTCAGGCAAGCGACGAATTGTCTTCTCACTTTCCATGCGTCTCATGAGTCCTCTCAGAGCCACGAGCGAAACGGCGTGCGAGAGGCTGAACAATTTTATCTGAGTGTTTCTAAAGGTGATTTTGATGGTCATAAACATTTAATGGCCAGCGATTCTTTACGATTTCACGCAATAAAAGTAATTCAACTCGCAAAAAGTGAGATCCTCGAACAAAACATTTTCAGGTTTTTTATTTCTTGGAGACATGCTGATGCATAAAATTAATCGATACCATTCAAGATGTCATCAAACTTTTTTCTTTTAAACTGTCTTTCTTTGATCATACAAACAAGAAAATTTGAGACCCTTCGATTTACACTTTCAAAATGTCTCTCTAAAATTAAAACTCAAAAAGATTATACGTGTATCTTGCAGGAGATTTTTTGGATTTTTGCAAGTTGTGACAAGTGTTTGTAAAATACTAAGAAGTCTAATTAGATGGGGGAGAGAGTGTTGATTTTTACATTTTAACACCCCCTATCCAATACAAAATTTTGCTTTGTAAACATACTATCATTGATAAAAGTTCGTTGAAGGAAGAGAGAAACAAAACTCATTTGACAGCCTTGATATATCAACCAACGATGCAACCAGTGAAAAAACTTATCCGACGTATCTTGTAGATAATTCAATTTCTTTAGACAAAGCTTAAAAAGGTGAAGAGCCCGCAATGCGTTATAAATTCAATATATTGAGGGAAGGTCAGAAAATTTTCGGGGTTTAGGTTGAGGATGCTAAAATTATCATGTTTCTTATATAATACTGTGTTGTTCACAATAGCCCATGACTTGTTGGAAATCACTCCGTTTCGGGAAGGTTATTAAATAATGCCTTTTTGGGAAGGAAATTTGATGAGTTAAACAAATAATCGTAAAATTTCCGCAACAAGTTAGGCGTTAAGCATTTCATTTTTATTTTCGGCGGAGGTTATGGGACATAAGACATGGGTTAGAAAGACATAGCTAAAAGACTTAAGAGACTCACGATTGAAATTCTACGTGTTTTAGTTTTGCACGAGAAAGATATTATGGTAAGACTATTAATTTTGACAAGAAAAAAGGATAAATCAACGGCGACTAAAATTGAATCAGTTTAAAAACAAGCGATCGTCAAAAGACGCCGCATGTTACTCAGAGGCATCTTTGTTTAAATATTCCGAGCGACTTCCTGTAGATAAGTCGTTTTACACTTCACGGATGCGCAATGGGGCTTATAAATGCCATTTCAGGCTCAAATGCATGTCCACTTTTATTCTGAGAGATCAACCACGCGTTTGAAAATGTTGTAGGGCGAGATTCTGTGGATACATAGGTGTTAAACTAACCTGACATCAAATTGGTGAGCAAACTATTATTTAATGTCACTGTCAGGAATGTTCATGTGATACAGGAGACTGAACCACTTGTTTTGTAACTGAGGAAAGAAAGGAAAAGTAAGCTGGTTGAGTAACATTCAAAATAACAGAAAAACTATCCGTCTCATTTCCGGTGCCGCAACCGTTCAGACAGAAACGAATTAATCGGCAATGGAAATCCTGTCATCTTGAACCTGAACTTAGACGAAAAACGGAGTGACTAATCTTGATAATGACATCGCTTTTCACCTTCATCCGATATCTGTTAATTAAAATCTCACTTCACGTCCTAGACGAGGAAGGAAGCATTGTTGTCACTTGGTGG